TTTCAAATCATGATTCTCAAAGACCGGTTGGAGCGCACCTCCTGAACGCAACACTGGTCACTGTGTGAAAAATTGGTATGAGAGGTGTTGACGAGAAAGAGGGTGTTGAACTGAATGAACTAAGGGCTGCTGCTCAAAGCCAGTGTGCACGCTGCACCCACTCCAAGCTGTTCAGCGCTCACTTTTTATGAAAAAATGTATGTTGTTATGACAAAATAGCTTATGTCCTTATAACAAGAAAATACAATATATCCTAATAACGTGAAAAGTATGTTTTAATGTTAAAGTATCTTATAAAAACAAAGTGTCTTATAATGAGAGAAGTTTCTCATTAAAACAAGAGTTACTCTGCTGTAGGCAGTGTGAACTATGAAATATAATCCTGCAGCCGCCACTGCTTGATGGTCTGACCATTTATTCAACACAAAGTCTGCTAGGCTGTACAGAAGATGAGCAGTATTCATAAAACAATCTCAGAACAGCACATACAGACTTTATCATCAAGGAAACTGGGTGTATGCCAAAAATACAGAGCTCCAAGCAGACTCAGCTAACAGTGCTAAAACTGTAGTCATATAATTCAGTGTTCAAGAATTGATGATATTATGCCTGGTAAAGCGAGCCCTGCATTTAACTCCCAGTCCACTGTTGACTGAAGGTCTGAAAGTGAATTCATTTCCTGTTTGAGTTTCATCACTTGTCCTTGGGGATTTACTGGCACTATTGGACACTTTGTATGTGACGCTGTGGATCACAACATAATAAAACAATGTACATTGTGGAAGTAAAGCCTAGTGCATTGTCTTCTATTTCAGAACACCTGGGAGTGTTAGAATGATACTTAAACCGAAGCTCTTTTTGAGGCTTTCTTATGTATGATTGACACACATACTGTATGTCAGTTGGTTTAAACTTTGTTCATGGTCATGGCATATTCTATGGCCTATGTAAGATTTAATCAGAAGCTGATTTAGGTGGATATTTAGGTCAAATCTGACAACAGTCACCTGAACCTGAAACTAACAGCAACAGCTTCTTATAAAAAGCATTTGCTTACCGCTGTTTTCTGTGTAGAATTTAAAGTAACCTGGTGTAAAGGTGGGCTCACAGTCCTGAAGATCACTTTGAAATCACAGTTTATAACATGGAAAGACATTATAATATTTTACACATGCAAAGAGCTCACAAATGTGCCACATTAAGTGAGGACACCACAGAGTGTTATTTACTGTATGTTAATATGGACAACTATTACAGACAAAAATAGAACCTGTGTTAAAATCATCATCTAATTTTTGAGTGCACTGTAATCAGTTTAGACTGATTACAATAAGGTCTGATTCACCAGTGACAGTCGTATTATTGGGCTGACAATTATAGAAAACACTGTTGCTATGGTTACATGTAATTTAATATATCTCGTGTACTGATTTAGAATGGTGGTCAATCAGTTGATTTGAACTAGTTTAGGAGTGGTGTGTCGTGTAAAGATTTAGCCGACTATTGGCAGTCAGTCAAAGCAAGTGTTTTCAGTGGCCATGGCACAATGCACATGTTATCAATATGGTTCATTTCAACACAACATGAATTCATTTGATACACAGTTTAACGGAGAGGAAGAAAGCAAAATATCCATTTTCATTACCCTAAAATGTCAACTAATTTAATTACATATTTTAGCAGTCTATAGCATCATTAAAGTATTTAAGCCCTTAGTGTAAAGCTAAAGACATACTTTAACAAATACCATACAAACACAAAATGGCCTTATCCTCCTGTTCTCAGATGCTTTATGAACACTTCTATAGTAGTTACAACTCAAAGCAAAGCACCAGTAAAAACTAGAACACATTTTATCCAGCCAGAGAGCAAGCTTCACTAACAGAATTCACTTGATATTTAAGGCAATATAAGTTCATAGAATTAGTCCTCTCAATAAAAAGAAGACATAATTAAGAAATTAACTGAATGATTTGTATATGCTGCAAACAGTAAGTGCAGCAAAGAAATTGGTTTACAGATGACTAAGAGCAAACTGTAACCCTCTATGACAGCAAATGAATTCAACTTGTTGTCCTGAAGCAGATTCCTTTGAAGAAAACAAGTAAAAGAGAAAAGAAAAGTCATTTATTCTGAGTTCAACATAAAGAACTTAATCAAAGGAAATACTTCTGTAACAACAAGAATCAAAAATATAAAATTAAAGGCAGTTACCAATCCTAAAACAGAATCCACATTCATTCATAAAGCCTGGACAGATAATAATTTATACATAGATTTCCTTAAAGGTCAGATCCACAAACTGAGAAATAGAGAAGCTCTGTCAGTTGTTCATGACAGGATGACAAACATAATGTGTTTTATAATGTTTACATTAAGCAATGAATTTAAACCAACATTTCCCCAATAACTGAGTGAATAATGCTGCTTTTATAATAAATAAAAAAATATGACAGTTGTACTATTTCATCTGCCTGTAAAACATTGTCTTTTTAATTTATATCTGAAAGTTTTAAAAAAAACTTGTCCTTAATGAGCAGTGGCAAAAGGTTTTAAAAAATAACTTCAGTTTATCCTAATATGAAGCTTTTTGCAAACTGTTAAGTTTTTGTGACCAAAAAATCACCCATATAAAAACTACTTCAAATTGAACTGAAACTATGTAAAAACTTCAGTGAATCATCAGAGACTAGTTTCCAGTTAAGAGGTGGAGTATATCATAATTTATTTTATGAAATGATCAACATTGTATTATATTTTTTATATTTGTCTGATTTTTCTCAGTTGTGTTCCAAAGCTGTATTTAGTCTAATGCTGTCAGCATAATTTCCAAAACTGTCCAGGACCATGAGAACACCATATGTGAGTTCTGTTTCAGGGTTGATTTCCACTGACACTAAGAAAAGAGAGAGCCCCTTTGTCCCTGGAGTGGGGTCAGAGCACCATGACCCCTTCCTCCTGCTTTGCCACTGTGGTGCTGGGAGTCAAAATTACTCCACTGTAAACATCTATACCCAACCCCAAGCCGTGTACATGTCCCCACCTTCACATATCTCCAACGCAAAGTTTACCATCAACAGTCCCAAACCCAACGTTGACCCTAAGCCTGAATCACTTTCACCTCAGTTTTCCAGCAACTCACCAACAGCTACAGACCTGGGAAACAGTCATGCCCAGATGTGTCATTTTCAAAACATCTGTAATTATTTGCCTCTATCATATTAACTTGTTATCCAAAATGCTACATTACCTCAGCGGGTATCATTGTAAAATAAGCTGCAAACAGGCATCTAGCTGAAGGTACTAAACTAATGTTACAATCTAAACAGACAGATAGTTCAGATATTCAGCTGACAGGTGAGCCCCCGGTTGATCAATATAGCACTTTATCAAGAACTGCTTTAAAATTAAATTATAAAACAAATAACTGTTTGTAAGCCTATTTTGGTTTTACTTTGAACTCAAAACTAGGATTTTATAATAGAATTGATAACCAGGATTAGAACTAGTGAAATACAATGACCTCATACTCAAATGCCAAGCTGCAGCTCTGAGGAGCCTGTGCTGAAGTGTCAGTTCAAGCACCAGACAGGATGTGATGCTCCTCTCATATTTGGGGTGTACTACACACCGATCAGGCATAACATTATGACCACTGGCAGGTGAAGTGAAAAACACTGACTATCTGTTACAGTGGCACCTGTCAGTATGTCCTCAAAGTTGATGTGCTGGAAGCAGGAGAAATGGATAAGTGTAAGGATCTGAGTGACTTTGACAAGGGCCAGACTGTGATGGTGAGATGACTGGGTCAGAGCATCTCCCACACTGCAGATCTTGGTGGGTGTTGGTCTGCAGTGGTTAGTACCTATCAACAGTGTCTAAGGAAGGACAAATGGTGAACTGGAGACAGGGTCATAGACGCCCACGGCTCACTGATGATGAGGTTGACCTACTGTAGATGAAACTTTTAACTTCCATTTGTATTAAAATGGATTTGAATCTTTGTTAAAAATGAGAACTACTGTACATTGGTCTCTATGAAGAGAAAGAGCCAGGGGCTGTAGTGGTGATATCACACCTAGAGTGGTGAGGCTGTTGAACTTGTCTCAACAATTCTCTCTAGCTCGTCCTCACAACCACAGTTTTCACTCCTTTTACATAAGTTCTTCACTGAATTGTAGACACATGCATGCTCTTCCTGACAGTAGAACTGTGGAAGCAAAAGGATTCACAGAAGATGCACAATGAGCCACAGAGTGACACGAGTGCCAACCAACTGCCACATTGACTCCTGCGTAAACAGTATTAGGCAGGTGGTCACAATGTTATGTCTGATCTGTGTATATTTCTTTATATTAATTTTTAAACTGTTGTCCTGAAGCATCAGTTGAATAATCACAGATGTGTTGTAAATACTATCTAGTAAGCATGATTCAAAAATATGATTTTTTTCCCAACAAACAATAAATTCTTGACCACATTACTTCTTTTCAGCCTTGTTGTTATCAGATGTCTAATAGAATCAGAATCAGAATCATATTTTCACTAAGTGCTTGACACAAATATTTGAATTAGCTTTCACAAAGGCAATGTGTTTGCCCAGGTCACATTCAAAGTTTATTTATGGAATACTTTTGAAAGACCAAGCCTAGCTGCAAATTTTATAAGGGTACATCAACCCTTGGATACATGTTAGATATTTCATCTGTGTTCCCACTACAGACAGGCGCTCATTCAGTCCATCATTTTTGTCCTATAACATAGCAAGAAGAAATGAGTTCATTCCATCGGTGGACTTCTCCCAGATGTTGGTTTCCTTGTTGAGTGTTTGCTTTTCTTTTCAGGTAGACGCTCCATGTGGTTCAGTGGGTAGAGCAGTTGTCTCCTAACCAGAGGGTCGGAGGTTTGAATCTTGGTGCCTGCAGTCCATGTGTTGAAGTGTCCTTGGGCAAGACACTGAATCCCCAAGTTGCACTCAATGGTTGAGTTGGCGCCGCAGATGGCTGCCTCGGTTCTGTACTGGAAACAAATTCCTTGTGTGTAATATACTTGGCCAAATAAAGGTGATCATCCATTCTGGGTCAGATATTGTTCAAGAGTAGGTAATTTCCTGTCTACAGTCACAAATATAATATTACACTCTGTGTGCCCATTTATGTCTTGATACAAGCTCAGCAGCATTTTACCATTGTATAGAGCCCATACTGAGACCAGAATCCACTGCTTCCCAGAAAAGAGTCTTTTGACTGAAACATTGATTGGTAATCATACAATAAACTGTAGAGTAAGTGGTTATCATCCACTTCACACTTCCAGAAATCTTAACTCTTCCTTAGCCAGTCTAGCCATGATAACGTGCTTTCTGCTGGTATGTTGTTTTTATTCGCTCAAATCCCAAAGCAGAGCAGGTTGGATTTGGAGATTTCTTATCTGCAGCTCTGATGATTAATTCCCTGCTGTTTATATGCTCTCGCAGTTGTCTAGCTCCAAATCAACCCTCATACTCAAGTACAGAGTCAGATATTCTTCTACACATGCAACAGCTGGGTGTCAGCCTCAGTTAGCAGATCCAGTGTCTGTTTGTGAGGCAGTTGTTTTGGAGCTGCAATAAATGTCAAAAAATGCTTTGACCTCTTTTATATTTATGCCAACCTCAAGACAGTAGGCTCCTTAAGCAAGTCTTGAAGTTTTCAAAACATCTTGCTGCCTCAGTGGAATTAGGACCATAGTCATTCTGAAATCGAGAATCCACAGTGGGTTGTTGAGCTACTTCCACATCTGGAACCATCTCCTACCCAGATGTCCACCACCCCTCCCACCCAAATTTTCAATGTATTCAATTTCCCTCCACCAATGACTCTGGGTGCTATGCTTCCCACACTTATTCCTAAATTCTTTTCCTTTCAACACCATCCTGCTCATCCCCCTCCCCCCCGCCCCATGCCAGTCTTCTGGCGGGGGGGCGGGAGGGCTCGTGCCGCTAGAGAGCTGTAATCTGAGTTAGTTCTGTGTTGGAGTTCCCTCTTCCCTGTGTCTCTCCCATCTGTGGGGGGTCTAACCCCACCAAGGGGAGTTCCATGCCTAGTCATGCTGGATTAGGTGTCCCTCCCCCAGGCCCCCCGCCATCTCCAGCCTTGCAGCTGTAGGCTGCCGCAACCTCTCTGGCAATACTCCTCATTCTGCCTGATTGCTGGGTGTCAAGGCGGAATGGAGATGGTTGGCAGAACTCACGGAAGCAGCGCTTGAAGTTCTCATCCAGGAAAGCATAGAGGACAGGATTCAAGCTGCTGTTGACATAGCCCAGTGCAATACAGAAGTGCATCAGGACAACTGTGGACAAGCTACTCAAGTTGAAGCCCAGTGACTGAGCCATTACCATGATCTGGATGGGTGTCCAACAGACAACGAATGCTGCCACGACCACCAGGACCATCCGGGTGATGCGCCGCAGGTTCCGGTCCTTTTCTTTAGAACCAGACAGGATGCGAACATTGCGTAGGCGCTTGACCATCAGGCTGTAGCAGACACTGATGATAGCCACAGGGATGAGGAAAGAGAAGAGGAAGACACAGGTGCCAAAGACTGAATCCCAGTGACTCTTTGGTTCAGGTAAAGCCACAATGCACTCAATACCTAGATGCGTTGGAGAAGAAGAGAAAAAAAAAGTTAGTTGCATGATGTGGTCAAAACCTTGACTGAACTAGAAGGTGACACACTAGGTCCAGGGTATATTAAGGCTAAGTTGATATAACCACTAAAAGCATGGCAACACTCTTGTTCTATCCAAAGAGGTCTGTGTGATTAGTTATGCTGGAGCTGTTTCACACTCAAAACCTATAACATTTCAAAAGCCCTGTCCTTCTTGGTGCCCAGCCAGGTTCCCAGATTGAGCTCTGTTGTATGTATCTGGACCATGAGCAGAGCCTTGGGGAGTCATGAGTGTATTGGCAACTAGCTTGTTAGTTATCAAGTTAAAACTCAACCACTGTCCAGTTGCTGGATAGTTTATTTTTCACTACTACTTGTGTACTTCACTACTTGTGTTGAGCTGGGATAAACAAGTGTGGATGGGCAAGGATGATTTTATTTTCCTCCAAACATAAGCCTTTATTTACACCTTATACAATTAAGATGGGATAAAACCTACTATTATATTACAGCTAACAATATGCATAAAATCTGAATACAAATGTATTTATTAAAAATGCAGATTAGGTGGTGATAACAAAACAAAACAGGCACACAGAATAAAAAAAATCTGCATCTATAGTAGGAACATGATAACAGAGGTACAAAGGAGACAAAGTATGACAGGAGATGAGTTTTCACAGGGAGACAGGATTAATCAGTTTAATCATAATACTGTCTGCAGCTAAAGCAGGGGAAGGCCAGGGTGGAAAGGAAAAGACAAGGTGATAAATGTGCCTGAATCAATAGAGAGATAAGAAGAGACAGGTCAAATTAAAGAAAGAGAATGAATGACTATAGAGTTTCAGTGTAAGCTGGAGGGCTACTCAACCTCTGCATTATACTGTAAAAGCTAAAAGAAGCATTTAAAAAAATAAAACAAATATGATATAGTAAAAGTTGTACAAACATCCTAATAATTTAAATATAAACTTACTGGCAGAATAAATGAGGAAAGTATCTACTATAGGTACGGAATATGCTGGTTTACTGAGTAATGAGTAGGACACTAAATGCTATGAAACATCTACAGTTATAGAGAGAGAGAGAGGGAGATGAGACTTGCATTTTCAGCCTAAACCACCACAGAGAATAGCATTCCAGTCCTCCTGACAAGACTGAATTAATTCACCTCGTTTGCTGAAATTTAAGTTACGTATAAACTCTGGAGAAAACCCTCTCAACATGCAGAAAGCAGTTAACACCAAAATGAAAAGAAATTACAAAAGTGACTCCTAAACAGCAATGAACCGCTAAAAGACAAACCTCTCCAGCTAATAAGAAGAAATTTCTATTAGTTTCAAGAGAGTCAGTTCCAAACAGGCAAAGGAGAAAAAGAGCAAGGATGAACAACTGATTTCATCTTTAACAAGAGTACATGCATTTACAGAGCTGAATTGGTGGACTGACATGTTATATAGCAAGTTGTATGTTGTTTATGAGAAAAGCGTCTGTTTCCCACTTTTTAAAAACATGTTAGCATAGATAAGTTTTAGTATTAACTGGTAATTGGATCTAAATATAAGGTACAGCTGGGGCTAATAGGAGGACCATTACATTTGCAAGTATTTGCAGGTACTTGATCAAAAGCCAAAGATATCTTGATGTGAAGAGGATGCTAGTGGAAACATTCATGAAGCTTCAAATCTTTAACTGTTTTTCCTAAGAGGGACATACTGTAAATGCATGTACCAAATTTAATGGTAATTCATATGATAGATTTCATGCTATTTCACTAAAAGCCAAGCATGTCAATCTGAGAAGTCAGGGGATTATTAAAGTTAGTATAATTTATCTTCTAGGCACCATGACTGTCTGTACAAAAGGCCAGTGCAATAACAAAATCAAAAATTCCATTCTCATTTTCAACACAGTGAAATTGCCTGAATTTGAGGGTTTGAAATACACAAAATCATTTTCTCCAGATATTCTTAACAAATATCAGGGTTTTGTCTTTAGTAACAAAGAAACGTGTCACCCAGTGCGACAGAGTTGTTTCCCTGATGAGTTTTTAAGCGTTCTGAACAACAGTGGAGGTCTATGGCACAGGCTGATCCAGGACCGACACACTGACATATATTAACAGTGTGTAGAGGCAAATCATTTATGGTCTTAGTCTCTGTATCCTTTAATACTTTCTCACTTAGTCAGCCTGATGAAAGCACTGTGTGCACTGAGCTTACAAGCACAAAGAGTAAAAAAAGTTAAATTCTCCTGGAATACACACAAAATCAATCAAATTTTGAATTTAAATGACATCAATGTGAATTGTGGCTTTTTAGTGTAGCAGGAAGGTGGACAAAAGTTGGCACTGTCTGTGTGCCCTTTAATTACTTTTATTATTATAATGATCCTGCACTAGCAATTGTTTCTAATGACTTAGTAAATTACAACTCCCTGATAACTTGACCGTTTTTCCAGAATTTAATAAAAGAACTCCACTTGAACATAAAAGAAAATTTTCTACTTCAAAATGGTTCTCTTTTTTTAAACTGTATTTTTGAAATATTAAGTAATAAATCAGTAGGTGTTTTTATTTATCCTCCACTGAAACCAATAACTTCTCTTACAAATGATGCCGTGCTCCGGGCAATATAAGAAGCATAAATGCAGTGTTTTTGTTTTGAATTAAATATTTAAACTTGGAAAGATAAGACAGCATACACACACACTAGTTAAGGCCAGATCAAAGAAAAATAAATTGGAACAGCTGAGCGAGAAGCGTGTTTTATTATTCTGTTTTTATCCAATGCGTCTTGCAGTGTGCATGGGGGTGTCCCCTGTAAAAATGAAAGTCGTAGCGCTGGGTCCATAACTGACACATTTCAAACACTGATCAAAAACACAGTAAAAGTCAGGTGAAAGGATGGGGATAGTAATTACTGCTCGAAAGGGCTGTGAAGTTTGTGTGATTTATAAAAAATTGTTTTAGATGGATCCCTGTTCCCTGAGGCAGAATGTGGTGGAAATGAAGATGCTAAAACTAAATGAGAACAACATCAACACATACAGTAGAGTAATAGTATTGATCCCTGTAGAGAAACAACCCCTTTTCCAGGAGGATCAGTGGTCAACCATAGTTGTGACGTCTAAATTCAGGGACTACACTGATTCATCACTCGTCTACATGTTTTAAGTAGTGAGAATCCATCCATCCATTTCCAGCTGCTTATCCAGGGCTGCGTTGTGGTGGCGGCAGGTTCAACAGGGCAGTCCAGCATATTCAAATAAAAATCAAATCAAATTTTATTTGTATAGCACCAAATCACAACAAAAGTCATCTCAGGACACTTTACAAAGTAAGGTCTAGACCTTATTGTTATCACTATTAGTACAGAGGGAAAACCCAAGAAATCCCCTTGAGCTGCACTTGGCCACAGTGGGGAGGAAAAACTCCCTTTAATGGAAGAAACCTCCGACAGACCCCGGTTCCGGTTCTTGTTGGGCGGCCTTCTGCCTCGACCGGTTGGGGTGAGTGGATAGAGGAGAGAGAAAAGAAAAGAGAAGCAACAAACAATGAAACACTGGTCAGGTTGATGTGGCCGGTGACTGCTCATCAGAAACACAGAGCTCCAAAGCCAGAGTCACCTGCAGGAAAGTACAGGGAGAGAGAGAGGACACACTACGGGAGAGGGGAGACACACAGTTAGTGATGTGTAATGGTGGCATATAGATGCATGGAGAGAGAGGAGAGGGGAGGGGAAAGAAACAGGGATGCTTCAAGGGATGTGACAGTTACTGTGACTAGGTGGGGTGGATTCATTTAGACTGACATTCTTCCTGCTGTAACCAGGTTTCACTAAGACACAATAAATCAATGTGATGTTCACTTATCAAATCATTCACTAACAGAGATGGACGAGAGAGATCTGATATGTAATAGTCCACATTTGATTGTCCTGTTATTTTGTTCTATAAGAGAAGTAGTCTTAATTTTAAATACGTTCTTATGAATAACTTTAGGTGGTTGGGGGGCAGACACAGTCTCTATGGGGTCCTGGGAGTTCTGGGTGGTTAGCAGCTGCAAAGAGACGCAGAGAGGCATGTAAAACTGTGACACTGCATCCTGGTCTCAATTCTGGGTTGTTATAATTTAGGCTGTAAAATAAACTTGTCCAGATTTCTAGATCCATCCAAAGTGGGATGGATGTCGTCTCTACTAATCAGACCAGGTTTTCCCCAAAATGTTTTCCGGTTGTCTATGAAACCACATCATTTTCTGAACACCACTTAGCCAGCTGCTGAATGACCACACGTGGCTAAACATGTCATCACTTGCATGATTGAGAAGTGGCTGCGATGAGAGTCAGTGTCTTCAAGTCTCCAGTGAAAAACTGTGGACTGCTCCTTTTAGGTTGGGAAAGAGGTGCTAGTGTACCTCAAGTGAAGGAGTTTAGGTGTCTCAGGGTCATGTTCATGAGGGTAAAATGGAGCTGAGCTTGACAGGTGGGTTCATGAAGAGGAAGCTGAATCAGAAGGCAAAGCTTTCAATTTACCAACCAGTCTACAGTATATTCCATCCATCTTCTATGGTCACAAGCTTTGGGCAGTGACTGAAAGAATTAGATTGCAAATACAAGTCACTAAAAAAAGAATGTTTCCCCCATAGGGTGGAAAGTTCCCCTTTGTTTGTCAGACAGCGGTGACATTTCTGACAGCAAACCTTACAGACATTTTGATTTATTATTATTATTATTAACTAAAATTTTGTTCTCATTCTGCTCAAAGACCAGCTGACAGCTCATCAGTACACTGGTGCAAAACATTCAGACCTCAATAACAGCTTCAGCTCATAAACAGCTGCACTCTGGTCACACAGTGAAACTGCTAGTTTGAAGGTAGTCTGATACATTCTGACCCAAACTTGCAACTGTCTTTTCTGGTTCATTTCTGAATAATGAATAAGAAGGGAAAAGAGGCCAATACTCCAACAACACTTAAAAAAT